ACCTCCTCCATTTCCTTCTAATTTCTGCTCATACAACACATATTCAGAGAGGCTTTTCCTGATTTCCTGATTTAGAATAGCTTATCCTGATTCATTTATCTTCATCACATTTATTAAAACTTAATATACTTATAAGTTAACTTGAATACTGTTTCTACAAAAGAGAGTAAATTCCACAAAAAAATGGATCCTTGCTTTGTCAGTATTATTTATCCATTGTCTAAAGCATTGTTGACGTATTAAATTACAGCAAGAACTTACTATTTATTTAATAACTGAACACTTGAATCCCAATTTATTGCCTATGCTACCCAGCTAGGATACTTTAGGTGAGGCAGGACGAAAAGACAGGGCCTTAGCACCTGGGAAAAGAAGAGCTGCAAACATAATGTATGCATTATGTTTATTAAGAATGTGATGCCTTTTAAGGAGCTGTGTCCCATGGGTTGGTAGAATATGCAGTGAGGGTGGCTACAGCTTTCTCTGTACGCTAAAGACATAATAACAGTGACAGCTCATCGAAATCCTAATAATTGAGGCAATGGCAAATAAGAGACTCTAATGGTGAAAGTACTCACTAGGACCTGGTTGGCATGTGGATTATTTTTATTCTGGTACATCCCAGGTCATTCTTCCACTTTCTTTCAAGCTTGAACAATGTGAGCTTGAGAAATCAAGATAGTTTTTAGGACTGAATACCTGGATCTATCTATGTAGTATGTTTCCCTTTCTGTATGACTGTGTTATAAAATTCTTCCCTTATATATATGGGTCTGTTTAGGTATCTCTAGGTCTTTGTGTATATTTGTGAATGCACATGGTTGTGTGCACATGTGGGTTGACTCTGTGTGCTTATATATGTGAATCCTTGACTATGTGAATGTCTGTTTATAAGAGCATAGTGTGTGCAACCATGATAATTCTGGTCTTGGCATTCATGTGAGCGTGTGTTGTGTCTCTGTGTGTATTCATGTATGTGTGGTAGATAACACAAGAATATCATTCAGTTACTTGCATTTTTAAAAAATAATCAAAGCCAAACCTTAGATGGGAGCAAGCAGTTGTAGCCATTTTATTGACAGATCTTCCAGCAATGGCCAATGATTCGTTACTCATCAGTGAAAGCATTGGTTGAGTTCTTCTATTCCAGGACTTTTCCTGAATGGAAGCAGGAGAGGCAGAAACGCAGGTGAAGTGACCAAATGTGTCAGTGGCAGTTATGAAGCAGACAGGTAGGCATGGTGGGTTACAATCCCTGGGATCTCTTGAGCTTGCGGATAGCAGCATTGGTATCCCCCTCAGTAGCAATGAGTGCCTGTAGGTTGGCATGGTGATTCCCAAATCCCATGGCCTGGAGAGATTCCATCTGCTTGCTAAATCTAATCTCAGGAGCTTGAAGAGGGTGGGAAAGGTCTCCAGCTAGGGACTGTAGCCTCTGTAGGACTGCTCCAGATTTGTGACAGCACTCAGGTGCTTTGGGATCAGCCATTTCTGGAACATTGCCATTCCAGGGAACTGTGTCAGGGTAATTGCAGTTGGGGGCAGGAAGCCAACCCAGGCCCCATAGGTAGGGTGCAACCCAAGGCAGAAGAACAGGAGCTTCTGTAGCCAATAGCTGGAGACCCTGCTCAATCTGCAATATTGCTTGTGATGCTTTAGGGTTGGCTAGGGCTAGAAGTAGGTCAGAAACCTGAGTCTGCTGCAGGAATGTGGGTAGCTGTTGCCTCCACTGTTCACTCAGCTGGGGCATACTCATGAACAACATCATCTGAGCTGCCAGGCATGGGTTGCTCATAAGCAACTGCATCATGCCTCCTGTGATCTGGGAGTTAGTCTGCTCCTCTGACAGCTGGAGATCATCCTCTAATCTCTGGTCAGAACTATCTAGTGAGATGGTGCCATCCCTGTCTTCTTCCTGAGGCTGCTGGTTGAGCTCTATACTAGGTAAAGCTGGTATTCCTACTGCCTGTTGAATGGTACAGATATGGCTCCGGTCCTTGGTGGAGATTGTGGCAGTACTTTCCCTGGAAGTATAGTTGACCCCATTGATGGTGGCATTGGCTGAGGTTACTGAGGATAAGCCACAGGAACTAGTATAGATGACCTGAGTTGTGGAGAGCTGTGGAAGCTGCTCTTGCCATTCCTGGGAAGGTGGTGGAGGTGGGGACGAAGGTTGATCTTGTCCTTCTTCTGGCACTTGCCCTGCCAGGAGGGCTGTGAAAGGGTTGCCCCCAAAAGGGTCTTGCAAACTGTTGATTTGGTCAATAGAATCAGCATAGCTCTGACCCACTGCATTGCTCTCACCTGGAACTGTCTCTAAGCCCAGGTAGTGTGGTGGGTTTTGTGGATGCTCAAGGTTCTGTGCAGGTTGCTGCATCTGCATTACCTCTTGGATCATGGCAAGGCTTCTGGCAAGCTCTAAAGTTTGCCATAGAATCTCAGAATTGTCAAGGAGATGAGAGACTTCTGGGTTCTGCTGCATCAATTGTTGCATGTCTGGGTGTTCTGAGATGAACTGCCGCATGAACTCTGTGTTGCACAGAAGTCGCTGGATATTAGGATTCTCTAGCACCTGTGCTATGCGTTCTGAATGACCTACGTCCAGATCCTGGGTATGCACCTTGGGCACAGCAGACTCCACCAAATGGGCTGGTTCCACTGGGGTTTGACTCATACCAGCAGGCTGGTACACCCCACTGCTGTTTTCTTTGGTGTTCCTGTCCTGGTGACAGGACTCATTTGTTGGCAGTTTCCTAGAAGAATGGGCTAGGGATCTGGAGCCATGCTTGGACTTGATGACCAGATGGATGGTGTGTCCATCCACTATGCCCCACTGGCTCAGTGTGTCATGGTCTTTGAGAAGGCGGCCCATGAACACCAGCACTAGTTGGTCCATTTGGCATTTGAAATGAGCTGATAGCTTCTGCTTGAACTGCCTTACCGAGGTATCATCACCTACAACAAAGTCTTTCTGGTTGCCTGGTGTCTTCACTATTACTCGAGTGACCCTGGAGGAGATTTTTCTGTCTTCAGGGAGATCTGAAGGATGCCTGCTGTGGGACATGCTAGGTGTTCGAGAGACGACATGTGGCATGGACCTCAGTGTATAGGCAGATGTGAGCAGGTAGAAGTAGGGGCAGAAGGGGTGAGGGCAGGAAAATGCTTCTGTTGTCCTTCGTCTCAGATGTTTTTTTCTCAGGCCACAGGCTGGCTTCGTTGTTGCCCAAAAAGTGAAGAGTGACTAGGCGAGGGCCAGTATTTTGTGATGTTACACCCTCACCCCAGTTCTCCAGATGTGGCCCAGCTGAGGTCTGTTGTGGCTACTGTTTCATACTTGGCACAAGGTGGACTAAATCCTCTTGGGGCTGCCTTCCTCCTGCCCCACCCACCAAGGACATGACCTCTTCAGCAGAGGGATATTATGATGTCAATTTTAGCCTCATACACTACCAAGACCAGGCAGGAAATATGGACATATTTGGGAGTCCAATTCTCTATAATAAAATTTTACAGAAAACTGAGAACAAAGCTCCTTGGTGAACAATGTGTTCTTCACAGTGCTATGTGTAGTTCCCTTAAAGGGAAGTCAAGCTTTTTGTATGAAACATTGAGTTTAGTGAAGCACATTTCTGTGAGTAAAAATAGCATCTTCCCTAAAGGAAGGACTTTAATAATTTTTCTAGTGAGCTGGATAAGGTGGGCCTTAAGCATGAAAATGGAACAAGGTGAAGGTCTTAGGTGAAAAAGGAGGCCATGTTTTTTTCTGGCATCTAGATTTTGAAATTCTAAACTTAATTGAATGTGTTCTCGTATGATAGGGAAAAAAAATCTCCTCTCCTTTAGGCAAACATAGGGGTACCCAGGAATGTTTCCTTTAAATGTTTATTTATTTGAAAGGGAGGGAAGGAGGAAAGGGGGGGAGAGAGAGAGAGATACAGAGACAGAGACAGAGACAGAGAGACAGAGATTCTATCTTCTAGTTCTCTCCACAAATGCCTACAACAGCCGAGGCTTGGCCAGGCAAAAGCCAGGAGGAGCTGGGAACTCATTCTGTGTTTCCTTCATGGATTTCAGAGGTGCAAGTACTTAAACCATCATCTTCTGCCTCTCAGAGTGTGCATTTATAGGAAACTATATTAAAGCAGATCTGGGATTTGAAACCAGAGACCTCTATATGGGATTCAGTCATCCCAAGTGACATCTTAACTCTTTTACCAAATATCTATCATTTATGTCTATGCTGATATTTGGATGTAGATGGAAGTATTGTACATGTGAGTGTAAATGTATATATTTATTGAATGTATATTTGAGACAATATGTATGAGTGTGAGAGTGTATGCATCCTTTGGTGACAGGAAAGATTTTGGAGTTTGAATCCTTATGCATTCCATATGCTTACCTGGAGAGGGAGGAGTATCATGCAGACAGATAAGGGGCATGCAGAGAATTCAAACCCAAGTCCAATCCATGTCAGGTCATCCTGATGCTGTTATCATTTGTAAACTCCACAGAGCTGGACTCAAGACTAACTCATCCTCTCCCTCACTAAATTTACTCAAAAATTATATTGACACAGGTCTGTGAAAATTGTTTTTCAGACCAAGACCCTATGTCTTGTCTCTCTAGGGACCCCATAGGAGGATTGGGGTAGAAGGAGAATGTCTATATTCAGTTCCCCTGTATCTTCTGCCTTGGTACCAAATGCTCTCAACCTAAGACTGACAATTCTGGGTCACAGAAGCCTAGAATTTTAGGACCTGGATTCATAGTTTTTGAATATGAAATATGAGATGCCAAAACATCAGGAAGAAGGATTAACACTTTCCTAGATAATACTTTATTTTGTTTCCCAATAAAGCTCACCTAGATCATTTTAAAAGGAATCTTTTGTGTTTTGATTTTGATACTAATTACACGAAGAACTAATTATATATCCTCAATGTCTCCCAATATTTAGATTGAATAATCATTATGGTGATTGGTCCTCCTGGTGGTAAGAAAGAAGACCCACATCTACCAATGCCCTACCCAACCCTGGGATGTCAGGGTATGGAAGGTATATAGGGCTTGACAAGTTTTGGTGGAGCACAAGTCCCAGAGGGTCTTTTGGCTAGTGGGCTTAGTAGCTTGCATTTCAGGAAGGTGAGGTCATAATTAATAAGGTAACCATCACTGAAAACATAAAGCTTTCAGTCCAAGGGACAGTAATTGATGCCATGCAGTGTTTCAAGCATCTTGTCCAGTATGATGCTGAGGTTCTGTTCCTGACCAGTGGTGGTATCAAAAGCATAGAAGATCTCCTCTTAGCGGGTGCTCAGTGAGCGTAAGGTGTAAAGCACCCCACAGGCCACGAAGGCCCCTGACAGGGCTGGCTTGTACTGGCTGGTCTGCCAAGTTTTCTCCACTTCTAGGGTACTGGCATTGAGACGACTTACAACCAGGTTGCCCTTGCTTCCCTCAGTGGCATAGAGCACCCACAGCCCCTTTCATCACCAGCAAAATCTAAGTCCTTCCAGGGCACACCAGCATAAGAGAAGCGGTTATTATAGGTGGCACCAGACAATGGGTGCCGCAAAACTAGGGTGTTGGAGGCAAGATCCACCTTGGCCATCTCATTTGAGCCATAGTAGTTAAAGTACATGAAGTTCTTGTATACAGTATTTCCATTGCCATTCCCATAGCCCATCTTCTGCTCCTCATAGTTCTTCAGCAGCACCAGGTCATCATAGGACTTGTACAGCTGATAGTAGTCAAAGTACCTAGGCCAAACCCCCCACATCATGATCATTAGTAGAAGTAATAAGCAAAGTGGGAAAAAGGACTATAAAATAAGCAAGTTAGTGTGTTAATTAACAGTAGGGACTTTGGAATCAAGCAGAATCTATTTATAATCCAATATCACTTACTTAAAACCTATGATGAAATAAATAATTACAAAAAAACTGTAAGAGTAATAATAAAAGCATCAACACATGTCATGCCTATTGGGCACTGTATTTGCATGAGTTCATTTAATTCTAATAAAACATGTTCACTAGGTTTTATCCTATAGATTAGGAGACTAGGCATTAGAAATATTAATTGATCTGATCAAGATCATAGTTTATAAGTAAAATCTGTGAGAGGAATAACACAATGATGTACTTGGTTAATTGTCAGAATTGACTAATATAAGGCAAAGAAAACAATTATACAATAATTTTATCAAAGTAAACAATTCAAAATGATAGTTATTAGTTTTTCATTTTTGTGGACTACTGTTCTGCACCTACCTTCCACCTGCCCTTAAGATACAGATGTCCTGTAGCAAGATATCATACTGGAGCTGCATTTGGGATATTAATCCTCATGAGTTTTGAAAAGTCCCTTAAATGAGTACTCTTATCTATTGATATTGGGAATAAATCCTGACTTAACTACAAGGATTGTGAGAGAATTCCAAAAACATAATCATATAAATGTATCTCATATGCTGCAAAACATCTGTAAGGATTGGAGAGCATGGTTAATTGATAATACTAATCTTTCTTAGATGAACTTCAACTGGGGCTCTTCAGTGACTGGATCAATGCATATTCATCCCTCCCTCTCAGGACCTTCTACTTCTTTGTGTCTATATAAAATACTTTCATAGGTATTGACTTTAAACACTCTGTGAGTTGTGTCTACTTTCCTAGTCTAGCTGATGATCTAATGAAAGCTTATTCATCTAGTCATTGATTCATTTAGCCACTCCTTTGTCTATTAACTATTTAACAACACCTGATATATTGTCTATACCTTTATGTAATCACATGTAATCATCTTAAATATTTAATTACCCTCATTTTACAGATGGTTAAGAATGGGCTTGAAATGTTAATTCATTTATCCAGTGTCACTGAACTTAAGTGATAGTACTGAGCTTCACAATCAGATCACCTTGACTTCAAGTTTCAAGCTCAGCTAGAGCCATGCTCTTAACTTAATCTAAGCAGGAAGTTAGAATTCTGAGACCCAGGTGTAGAAGTCACTCAGGACTTACCTGCCATTTGCACGCAAAGGGGCCACCCAGTAAAGGGAAGAGGTCAGATTTGATGCTGAGTCTCGGCCCCAAGCACCTGCTTTGTATGAGAATCCTCTCCAATTGAGCTGTACCACAAAGGGTCTGCTGACTTTCTGGAGGATTCCACCAGTGCAAGAACCTAGAGAAAAGAGCAGACAAAGTAAGAGCCAGGTTTAAGGCATACAACCCACAGAAAATGTAGTGTGTGTTATAATAACTATATGTGTATTTCATTGTATGTCCATGCACTGAGTGCATATGCAAGTATATGAGTATATGAGCAGGTTAATTTTTGCCTCAATAGAGTGTGTGTGTGTGTGTGTGTGGTCTGTATATGAGTATGCCCATATATGAGAATTTACTACTCTTGTACTGCATCCCTAAGTAACACACAAATCAAAAGTTTGGAAAGAGGGGCCAGCGCTGTGGCGCAATGGGTTAAGCTTCTGCCTGTGGTGCCAGCATCCCATATGGGCACTGGTTCTAGTCCAAGCTGCTCCTCTTCCAATCCAGCTCTCTGCTTATGGCCTGAGAAAGCAGTAGAAGATGACCCAGGTACTTGGGCCCCTGCACCTATGTGGGAGACCCAGAGGAAGCTCCTGGGTCCTGGCTTCGGATCAGCACAGCTCCAGCCATTGCAGACATTTGGGGAGTGAACCAGCGTATAGAATACCTTTCTCTCTGTCTCTCCCTCTCACTGTCTATAATTCTACCTCTCAAATAAATAAATAAAATCTTAAAAAAATATGAGTGATTAAATATCCCTCAAGATTTTTACTTACCTCCCCACAGTACATCATAGCCAATTTTGCACTCATAACCCAGTTCTGGGGAAAGAAGATCTTAGGAAATTCAGTCTGTGAACTCACCAGGGGGCAAAGATGGTCCAGGCTGTCTGGAGGCCTCATCTCGCCCTCTTTCCCTTTCACACTTACTTATCTGGGCCTCAAGGACATCCACCTGCTGTTGGAGAGCACGATTGTTGCTCTGGTCAGTGTCAACGAGAAGTCTGAGCATGAGACTGGCGTTGTTCACCTGAGGAGATGAGATGCCAGGGATGTGAGCCATAGAATGTTCTTAGGAGCTGAGCTCCAGCTCTTGTATTTCTTAGCTCTGTTCTTCCCCAGAAAGAACTGATTTTGGAAATTGCCAAATACATGAGGACAGACAAGATATAAAACTGTGAAGAGGAAAAGGGTTCTTTAATCCATCCACTTACCTGACCCTGGAGTTGGTGGAGGAGATCCCCAGCCCCACTAACTTCTCCATTGACTTTAAGCTGGGTCACTGACTTCTGCACCCTCTGCAGCTCCAGCTGCAGCTTGTTGAAGGATGGGGCCTCAGAGGGGAGAGTGAAGGCACTGGGATTCTTGGACTTCAGTGTGTAGCTCATTTCCAGGACCTGATTTTCTTGGCCGTCGATGGCAGGTGCATATTCACTGACCTGGGCATAAGGGGTGAGAGAAGCATTTCTCCCAAACACCAACCCCTGTGGCTCTTCTCATCCATTCACATCTTCAGAGGACCACTTAGCCTATCAAGCACTCCTATATCTGCCATTTTGTTTGCTTCTATTATCAGTCCTTGATGTGGGCATCAGTGTTATCCCCCTTATACAACTGAGGACAGGAATAGCCTTTCTGCTTCAAGAAAAAAATCTTACCTCCACAATCCTGTTTTTTTTTCTCCTTTTCTGATTAGAGCCATCCCATAAGAGTGGCTTGGTAAGTGCCTGAATGAACGGGCAGATCCCTGGCTTCCATACTGGCCACATCCCAACAAATTTCCCCAGGAGATCCACAAGTTTGATTATTCTAAGCCACTAACCACATCACATTTCTGATGCAGCACTTCTAGCCACTCGTCCTTACTTACAGGATAATTCTAAATTTTCCAGACTGCTTCACAAGCCCCTCTCCACACTGCCCCTATTTTAACTCTTCCGTTTAAACTTTCACTTAAACTGTTCCGCTTAAACTCTTCCATTTAAACTTGTTCATGCTTCTGTGCACTGATCACTCAATTTCCAAGACTTCGATTATTCTACGCCTATGTCCAAATTTTCTTCCTCATCTTGTAGTGGATTCATACCTATTAATTCACCCATTAATGTAGGAAACACTTCCTACATAAGCCTCTCTAAATTCTGTTATTATCACTGAGGATCCAAAGAATCAGTGCCTAATTTCCCCTTCATGTACAGTATTCATCTTAAAGATGAGATTATTCTTCTTTCATCAACTTCTTTGACAGTACTCATCCTCATGCTAGGTCCAGTAGAGGCTGAACTTGGATAATACCCAACCCCAGCCATAGCCTCAGCCCACAGCTTCAGCACTCACCCTGGACAGCGCCTGCTCACACTTGTTAATGAGCTCTTGTGTTGTACTTTGTAGCGGTTCTAGCTGCTGCAGCAGAATGGATTTGGGCAAGTGAAACACACAACGGCATGTTTCACCCTTATCAACAGATCTTGAAACATTTCTCACCATCTGCAAAAGCATGGCCACAGGCATATTAAACATAATTACGCATATCCAGGCATGACAGGCTATTTGCCAACAAGAGACAAGAGAAGAAACTGATCCAACTCTAGAGTGATAGAGAATTTTTTTTTTCTACATGGGAGTTCTCCTTGATTGCCTGGGCATCATTTTGTCAGGATTTTGAGTCACCCTTCCCTTAATTTCCCACAACTGAGGCTGCAGTCCCCTTATAGCACCTTTGATGAGTCCAACCTCACCCTACCTCATTCATTGGCTTCTCTGTCTGGAGTTCACATAGCTGGAAGCTAAGTGTTCCTTAAGGTTCTGTGAAGGGAAGCAAAACTTGTCTAAGTTGTGTTTGGCTACAGGCTCGGAGAGTTTCAGTTCCCTACAATATCTCCCATTCTAGATATATGGCAGATTCCCACAATTTCCCTTGTCTTAAAGCATGGGGAGGGAGGGCAGTGCTATGGTGTAGCGGATAAAGTCACTGACTGCAGTTCTGACATTCCATATGAGTGCAGGTTCGATCCCAGCTGCTCCACTTCCAATCCATCTCTCTACTATGGCCTTGGGAAGCAGTAGAAGATACGCGCTCAAGTGCTTGGGTCCCTGCACCCATGTGTGAGACCCAGAAGAAGCTCCTGGCTCCTGGTTTTGGATCTGCCCAGTTCTGGCCATTATGGCCATCTGGGGAGTGAGCCAGCAGATGGAAGACCTCTCTCTCTGTTTCTTCCTCTCTGTAACTCCGCCTTTCAAATAAATCTTTCAAAAAAAAAAAATCAGGGACAGGGGCCAGTGCTGTGGTGTAGTAGGCTAAGCCTTTGGCATCCCATAAGGGCTCCAGTTCCTATCCTGGCTGCCCCTCTTCTGATCCAACTCTCTTCTATGGCCTGGGAAAGCAGTAGAAAGATGGCTCAAGGGCTTGGTCTCCTGCACCCACTTGTTCTGGATATCCAGAACAAGATCCTGGCTCCTCTTTTCAGATTAGTTCAGCTCTGGCCATGGCAGCCATTTGGGGGAGTGAACCAGCAGACGGAAGACCTTTTTCTCTCTCCCTCTCTCTGTCTATAACTCTACCTCTCAAATTAAATAAATAAATAAATAAATCTTTTTTAAAAATCAGGGACAGAGGTCGGCACTGCGGCTCACTAGGCTAATTCTCCACCTGCGGCACTGGTACCCGGGGTTCTAATCCTGGTTGGGGCACCGAATTCTGTCCCGGTTGCTCCTCTTCCAGTCCAGCTCTCTGCTGTGGCCTAGGAGAGCAGTGGAGGATGGCCCAAGTCCTTGGGCTGTGCACCCGCATGGGAGACCATGAGGAAGCACCTGGCTCCTGGCTTTGGATCGGCCCAGCACACCAGCCGTAGAGGCCATTTGGGGGGTGAACCAACAGAAGGAAGACCTTTCTCTCTGTCTCTCTCTCTCTTTCACTGTCTAACTAAGCCTGTCAAAAAAAAAAATCAAGGACAGAGATTTCTAAATCATTAAACAATAAAAATTAACAATAAGAATACCATGAGGCAACAGAATTTGGGCTGATATTTTGCATTAACGAAAACAATGCAAAGGATGAAATGTAATAAATATTTTATCATTAAAAAAAAAAAAACAGGGCCAGTGCTGTGGCATAGTGAGTAAAGCCGCTGCCTGCAGTGCCAGCATCCCATATGGGCACCGGTTTGAGTCCTGGCTCCCCACTTCTGATCCAGCTCTGTACTATGGCCTGTGAAAACAGTAGAAGATGGCCCAAATGCTTGGACCCATGCACCCACGTTGAAGACCCGCAAGAAGCTCCTGGCTCCTGGCTTCGGATCGGAGCAGCTCCGTCCATTATGGCCAATTGGGGAATGAACCAGCAGATGGAAGACCTTCCTCTCTCTCTCTCTCTCTCTCTCTCTCTCTCTCTCTCTCTCCTTCTCTCTGCCTCTCCTTCTCTATGTAATTCTGACTTTCAAATAAATAAATAAATCATAAAAAAACAAGAGGTCCTGAAATTTAAATTCTTACTAAGTTGCATGATTAATGAGTGACAAGGTTGCAGGTCACCTTTGGGTCTCATGCTTGCTCACATTTTAAAGCTCTTATTCCTAAGATTGTTTCAGACTTCAAGCTGTATCAGGATTGATGTGCAGCACAAGCCAAAATGATGAAGGTAGCCCTCTTGCATCAGTTAAAGTTTCTAGGGCAGAGAAATACATAATTTTGAGTCTTCTCCATCTTGCCTATCATTATTACTTGTATACTTTCTTAGAGCCCAAACCTACAGATACTAAATTCCGGTTAGCTGAGTTCTATTTTTAGCTCTGTGGCATTGGATAAATCACTTAATCTTTCTGTTCCCTAGTGCCTTCAAATGTAAAATGAGGGAAATTATGATGTTGGCTTTATTGCTTTACATTAAGAATTTATAAGATAGATGCATAGAGTATAGATAGGCATAAAGAAACAATATTTGTAAAATATTTAGAATAGGAGCTGCCTTCCCATGATAGAGTTATTTATATTTAGTTACCACAATTTTCTAATTCCATCTCTCCACTACCATTTTGAAGCTGGATGATCCTGCATTAGATTTAAGACTGTTACCTATTTTTTTTTAATTAGGCCTATAGCATTGGCTGAAGTTTTACATAATCTTCAAATTAAGATACATGGCCCCTATTATCTCTATGTCCCACCCATAGCTTTTCTGCTCCTGGAACTCATAGCGTAATCCAACAGTTTGTTCAGCCTGCAACTTCAGCCCAGTAGTTTAGCCTTTTGGGGACAATGAATAAAAGATAGCATAGTCTGTAATATCGTGAACTTGCCACCATTAACTCTAGTATCAACACTGGAAGAAAGCTGTGCAAAAAATAAAACCTTGTAACTGAACAGGATATATGGCCCAGAGTTCCTGCTGCTGTGGTCTTTATCGTGTATTCCCTTCCTTTTTGTCTTTACGAGGCAAAAGAAAAATAGATAAAAGTATGTGTCCCATCCTCCTTCTCTTCCTCCCTAGTCATCTCTTTCTTCACTCTCTCCCATACCTCAGATGGTAAAAGAAGTCAGGTAAAGCACAAAACCTTGTCCCCCACCTTCTTAAACCCTCTACCGTGTGTACCTGAGGCTGTCCTGGGAGCACCAGGGGCAGCAGCAGGAGGGCAGGCAGAAGAGCTGGGACAGGCTGCATCTCGCACCAGCTTACAGGACTGAAGTCCTCAGTGCTTCCCTGGGCCTTTGTCTCTAGTCCACATGAATAGTCTTGGTGGGAGGGGTATGTATTTCGACATCTCGGAGGATTGGGAGCATAACAACATGTGAAGAGGGTGGAAAGAGCTTTACCACAGAATGGTACCTAAAGACATGGCATGGAATTGCATCTCCCATTACAAACAGGGTCTTCCTCATCCATCTCGAAGCCGAGATCTGCCTTTGCCCTTCTGGGCCTCACGTCCAAATGGATTAAGGTAGACCTGAGACATCCTAGGGGGGCCTTGGGATGGCCTTCCCTTGGACTTTGAGAGAGGAAAGGTTCTAAAAGGAAATGCAACACTGCCTGTTCAGCCTCAGCTAGGTTTGCCCTTGGATGAGGGCCAAAGTACACATTTGAAGCAGACTATTTCAGCAACACCATACTGCATTGCACTGTTGTATTTCATCCTTCACCACTAGAAATTTGCCTCCTCCACTATGCTAGGTACTCTAAACTTATGCATCCCACTACACTATTCAAATGCTTCCCTTAATTTCCCTAGTCTTAATGCCAGCATCCTCCAAGAAAGCCACCTCCCAACATTGTCCAATAGGAGGCTGTCGAAGCTCATATCCTTGGGCCTCTCAACTGGAGAAAAAGAAGAGTTTGGTTCTTGAGACCTGGACACTGAGCCACAGTTTCATGTTCTTAGTGCTAGGAACCCTAAAGCACTCTCTCTCTCTTCTCTATCATCTGCCTCAAGTCCATCTCAAGCAATGGACAATCCCACAATAAAACAATGTCAGCGTCCAGAGTTTCATTCTATTTTATTCACATTGCACAATTTCCCCTGCCTCTCATTCTTTAGCAAACGTGGAGTTTTTACTGAGTATGTCAGACATTGGACAAAAGGCCCCACTCATAGCCACCCGTCATTATCTGGCTCTATCTGGTAGAGTGTTGGGAAAAGACATGATCCCGGTCCTCGGGCTGTGTCTTGGACCTCCTTGTCTGTCAGAGTACAAGTCTAATTCCTTCTACATGTGTATGGCCCATGTGTGAAAATCAATACAAAGTTAAAAAGAGTAAATAAATTAGTGCAGTAAAACCAGGCCAATAGAAATGAGTTCATAGTTCTCTGCCTATATGATGGGAATAGAATTTGGGTGAGCATAGGACCACCCAGTGACAGACGATGGCAATGCCTTGGTTAGAGTTCTGCCCAAAAGGATCTTGGCTATCTGAGGGCACATGTAGGAGGAAATAAAGAGTGCATTCATCTCTGTGGGTAGAACCCCTCAGGACCCACCTTCCTCACTGCACCTGCCCTGAAGAGTTGAAGCAAGTGCCTGAGCCTCTGAGCAATCTGCTGGGTACGCACTCCATAGACCACAGGGTTAAGAGCTGGGGGAACCACCACATAGAGGTTAGCCAGTAGGATGTGGATATGGCGGGGCACTGTGTGCTGGCCAAAACGATGAGCCAGGAAGGAGAAGAGGGCAGGTGTGTAGAAGAGAACGATGACACTGGCATGGGCCCCACAGGTTCCCAGGGTCTTGCGGCGGGCACCGTGGGATGGCAGGCGGCAGACAGCTCTCAGGATGAGGATGTAGGAAGCACCTATGAGCCCTAGGTCCAGAGCTGGGGACAGCAACGTGGTAGCCAATCCATACCAGATGTTGGGACGTGTGTCTCCACATGCCAGCCGGGCCACACCCATATGCTCACAGTAGGTGTGGGGCAGCACCCGCCGCCCACAGTAACGTAGTCTCTGTAGCAAGACCACAGGGGGTGCCATTACGCAGACACCACGAGTCACAGCAGCTACAGCCACTATACCTACTACACGCTGGGTCAGCAATGCCCCATAGCGCAAAGGCTGGCAAATGGCCACATAGCGGTCCACGGCCATGGCCAGCAGCACTGAGGACTCAGCGATGAAGGCCACGTGGGCGACAAAGAGCTGAGCTAGACAGGCCCCAAAGGGGATCTCACTGGATAAGCCCCAGAGCACAGCCAGAGCTTTGGGCACTGTGGATGTGGCCAGAATCAAGTCTGTGATTGCCAGAAGTCCCAGTAGCTGGTACATGGGTGCCTGAAGTGCCTTGTCAGTTGCCACCAGCCAGAGTAGAAGGGCATTCCCTGCCAAAGCTGCCATATACAGTAGGCAGACAGGCACAGAAATCCAAGTGTGCAAGGCTTCCAGTCCCGGCACCCCTAGCAAGACAAAGGGTCCAGGTACAGAGATCAGCACAGTCTGATTGCCAGCAGGCAGTGCGGAATCCATCTCCATATCCTGGTTCCTCTGGGTTCTGTTCCTGCAGAGCATAAATGCAGCCAGTCAGAGGCAGCCACATGTCTACAGAAATTTTAGAGAAATAGAGCTTAAGATAGCATTTGTCAAGCACCTCCTTTGTGTCAGTGTGCTGTTGTGAAATTTTGCATATACTGAACTGTGGAGTTTCTATCAGTCTTGTGCCTTTGCTGACACTCCTATATGATGGATCAAGGAATTTATTTTCTGCGAGGTTGACAAGCTACACAGCTTGGAAAATAGAAGAACCAGGATTTGAACCAAAGCTCACCTGACTGAAGACCATGCTCTTCAGATTATTCTCTCATCTATGTGGAATGTCCCTTCTTCAGTTCAGGCTATGTTTTTCCTAATTACCTTCCCAAAGGAAGTTGTTTGTGTTAACTAAGCCTGATCCTACCAACTGTACTGCCTCTATGATCCCTCCACTCAAGGAGAGATGTAGAGAGCCAGAGAAAGGAAATACAGAGTAGTTGCTTTCAATGCATGGGCTAACAAATGCTCTGATAAAGCTCCTAATCCATTATATATTTCAGAATCCACTTTCTTAGCTCAGACGCACTCTCCCAAACATTATGTTCCTCTAAATCTGTGCATTATACTGCCCCAGCTGCCAATGGCATCCTTCCCACCATTTCTGTTCACTATAGCTCTAGGCATCTGGCTCGTGGAACTTAGCTCCTTCTTTGACCAGTGTAGAAATCTAAGCCTTGATCAAGTCTGTGGTTCCTCTTTCCTCTGTCCTTTGTCCATGGGTAGACATTGTTGGTTCTATTGAAGTCAGTTTGGGAAAATTTGATGCCCACTAGGGACATGCAAGAGCAAGACTCAGTGAATGGACTGAGATCTGATCTGAGTGTGACAGTATATTGGTTGGCTTATAATGGTTGTGGCATCAGGGAAATGCAAATCAAAACTACAATCAGTTTTCACTGCACCCCAGTTAGATTGTCTTTCATACACAAATCAACAAACAACAAATGCTGGCAAGGATGTAGCGGAAAAGGTACCCTAATCCACTGTTGGTGGGAATGTAAACTGGTACAGCCACTGTGGAAGATAGTATGGAGATACCCCAGAAATCTGAATATACATCTACCATATGACCCAGCCATCCCACTCCTGGGAATTGACCCAAAAGAAATGAAATCAGCATATGAAAGAGTTCTCTGTACCCCCATGTTTATTCCTACTCAATTCGCAATAGCAAAGATATGGAATCAGCATAAATGACTGTCAACTGAAGACTGGATAAAGAAATTATGGGATATATATACCATGTAATACTACATAGCTGTAAAAAAATGAAATACCATCATTTGCAACAAAATGAAACTGGAAAACATCGTATTTAGTGAAATCAATCACTCCCAAAAGGACAAATACCATATGTTCTCTCTAATCTGTAATAATTAATAGAGCAACTAAAAGGTAATCTATAGAAGGAAATTGACACTTTGAAATGCAATGACTTCAATCAGCCCTTGTCTCAACTATTGAAGAATACGTTTTAATACTATTTGTTGAACTCTTTACTTAGTATAGAGTTAATTATATGTGCTATAACGTTAATTGAAAATAGACCTTAGTAAAAAAAAAAAAATAAGAATGTGAAGAGCCACTCCTCTCCGTCCCAGATGATGTAACCTTTGTCCTACTTAGTGAGTTAGTTCTTAGAAGTAACCTTTGCCCTACTTAGTGTGCTAGTTCCTAGAAAGAGCCCTAGGCACCAGCTGTCACTTGAGATGTGGTTCCCAGCAGGAACCCCGCCTCCAGGCTTTGTGATAACTCCTAGTTGCAGAGCACCTTTTGGGGAGCAGCAGATATCCCACCCTAAAGTCTTAAAGTGATTCCTGCGATAGCCAGAAAAATTTTCCCTCCACTAACCCCTTCATTTAAATCCTCCAATCAGTGTGTGAATCGTGTGTGTATCATTTAAACCCTCCAATTAGCGTGTAAATTGTGTGTATTAAGTAAATTATATGGTTTTTCCCTTTAAAAATGCTCATTAACAACTGTTCGGGGCTTCTTCTTTGGATGGCTTTGTGCTGTCGAGAGGCCCGTCTGCGCAGACGTTGAATAAATTCTCTTGTGTGTTGCATCTACTGGTTTGGAATCTGAGTCTTTGGGGTGCGCATCTCGACGTGATGGGGTCCTAGTTCAGGAACCCAACAGAATGGGAATAGGAATGGAGGATGGGAGTGTGGGTGGGAGGGCAGGTAGGTAGGAAGAATCACTACGTCCCTAAAGCTGTATTCATGAAATGCATGAGGTTTGTATTCCTGAAATAAAAGGTTTCTGGTGGGGAACTGGTGGTGGTACTGGTGAGGGGGGCATAATTATTTAGGTTTAGGAGGATGAAGAATAGCCTGGAAGAAGGATATAAGGTAAGGTAGATTTGCCACTAAAGACCACCATTACACAGTTGTATCCTGTGTATCCTGACCTGATCCTGGAGACTAAGAAACCTGGGGCAGTTGAGCAAAGAATAGGATCTCTTGCCTTAGGTGAGGCAATCACACTTTGCTTGCGGCCCTCTCTGCAGCACTGCCTCCCGGGCCTTCCTTCACGTCCTCACGTGCTGACTTATGCAGAGTAAATATGGGTAGCAACCCAGACTAGACTTTCCCACATGAGAGTTGTTGGTTTAGGAACCAGAGCTCCCTTCTGAGCCTTTGCTGAGTCATGGGACCTGGCCCTCATCCCTGCAAAATGGAGGCCCTCCCAGCCCATTATCTGGACCCTGGGAACATCCACCACAGGTGGCCCATCCTTCACAAAGGAAGAAAGATATCAGTGCCCTCAGGGGCTGAGAAAGCCCCTCCCAAAACCACAGGGCAAGCAGGTCCCATACCCACACAGGGGCCTCTTGAGAATGGTCTGTTCTCAAGGTGTGGGCTCAAGGAGCACAATTCCTCTTGGCAAAACCCCAGGGACATCTTCCGCAGATCCCCAGGTCCACAGTGCACACTTCTTTCTTTCCTTCCCCAAAGGCTAAGTAAAGGGAAAAAGGAGAAACCGGGGCCCCTCTGGCACTCTCCAGCCTCAATCTCTGCCCTGTGTTCAGGTCTGTATAGGCATAGCTGCACCCTTCTTATCTCCCACCTGCCTGCTTTGCAATTCTGCCTCCCTGGCTCCTTATCCAATACAGGCTTCACCAGCTAATTGTCCTCTAAAAGTCAAAAGTTCAGCAAGGAATGTGCACAGGGATGAGTAAAACAGCACCTCTGGCCAGAGCTGCTGCCAGGAATATGACTGGCTCTAGGCTGTGGTTCAGTGTCCTGGAGCCTCTCCTTCGTGGGAATGCTACCACAGAGGTGTTACCACTGTCTTGGCTTCTGATTCAGAAATCCATGTACAAAAGCAGAGGTTCACACAGAGCCAGAACTGGGATCAAGATCTCCAGGTCTCAATATAGAACTAGACCTGCATCTGGTTTCTTAGCCTTTTTCTTCACTTGACAACAGTTTTATTATTAGCAGAAGAAGTTGTCTGTGCTACTTTTGCAGATTCTAAAGCTCTATTTGACTCTAGATTACCTGCTCCAACCACGTCTGACTCCATTTACACCTACGTTTTGCCCATGCATGTTCTTGGAGTATCAGTGGCACAGTTGCAGACTGACTTCTCTCTCACCATCTGCCACCTCCTCCCCTTTGGGGTTCCAAGCCGGAGCTCACAGCACAGCCATCATCCCCATATTTTTTGTTTGGATCATTCTCAGGATGACCTTGGTTTCTCAGAGCTGTTCTACTCAGAGTGGCTTACATACATAGTGTGTCCTACCCATGAGAGTTGATGGGCACAGTGTTCCCTTCAGATCAGAATTGACATTGAGACACATTTAAGGGCATTCAGATGCACTGGGGGTTAGGGGACGAAGGCATAGTGAAAAAAGTTCAAGAACTGAATTTGGACAACCAGTGTTCAGTCAATAATTTAGGGTGAATTGTGGGGACCCATGAGCCGGCCATGGGCCCACATGCTAAGGCTTAGCTTGCCGACCATTGGCAATAGTTACTGCTGTGTGGATGTTTATGGTTTCTGTTGAGCTGCAATATCGGGACCGTTTCATAACCCCAGGCTAGAGTCAAAACAACTATGGCCTTGGGGCTTCCCGTGCTTCTTTTCCCACTGACCAAGGCTGAGAAAACACCAGGTGGAAGCTTGTTGTTAGCACCCGAGTCACCTGCTACGTGACCAGGAGCTTGATTGGATGAAGGCGTGTGATCACCTTTATGGTTGGACAAGGAGCGCATGGACTGTGCGTGATCAGGCACCCGATTGGAGCGCCGCCGCATGGACTGTAGCATGGACTAAGCTTGCTTACATGCTTCAACAATGTTATACTACATAAGCTGTTTGTGATATGGGACGGGAGCGTCCCTTTTCTTTCGGAGCTCCCCATGCTCAAGGGTTTCTTTTTCTATCCTGTTTAAATAAAAGTCTACTGAAGACCGATCAGCTGGGAGAAGTGTCGTTCCTTTGCGGGCAAGGGAGCGACAGTGAATCAATTTTACAACTTAGAACTCTGGTTTAATCAGAATACACAGTTCTTACCTTGATTTTGGAGGATTAGAGGTGGGATGGAACCATGCCACAATGTAACATTTTCTTCTTCTGGTTTATTCCAATTTCAGCACAGTGGTAAAATCCATATTGGGCTTTGAGGCCAGATCACTGAGGTTCAGATCCCAGGTGTGCCATATATAAGCTGTGTGACTTTGAATAAAAAGCTCAACCTCTCTGTGCCCCAGTTTCTTCATCTCTAAATTGTGGCTAATAATAAATGCATGTACTTTATATAAAACTTTGTAAGATTAGACACAATTACACATATAAAACCGTGCCTGCAACATGATAAATCTGAAACACATGCTAAATGTTATTGTTATTCCTGTCTGCACCTTTATGTGAATCCATACTTCTTGAGTCCTTTTCTGCTGTTTACTTAGTTCTCAGTTTCACAATCTGATTAGTTTTCCTTTCAAATACTTAAACTTGGGGAAAAAAATAGAAACTGAA